GAATGTTGAAATTAAGTGTATCGTAAAGTTGTATTCGGAAAGAATAAACCAGTTTTATTAAGTAAGGACTTGTGTCGCTAAAGTTTCGTCGGAACGAAGTTACGGAAAGTTAATTAACAAACGGAGACGTAACAAATTGGTGTCGGAAGTGGAACGAAAAAAAATGGAAACGAGAGGCGGAAAATCAAACTACAGTTTAGCAGACTTGATGGCAGCAATACAAGAGCAGCAAAAGAAACAAGAAGAGAGACAACAGCAGTTGCAAGAAAACCTGCAACAATGGCAGCTCGAACAACAAAAGAAACAAGAAGAAGGAGGAATTAAACAAGAAGAGAAATTACGGCAGTTGTTAGAGGAAAAAGAAAAGAAACAAGAAGAACGAGAAAATAAACAAGAGAGATTACAACAGTTGTTGGAGGAAAAATAAAATAAACAACAAGAACGAGAAAAGAAACAAGAAGAGAGATTACAGCAGTGGCAACAGGAACAAGAAAGGAAACAGAAAGAAAGTCTCCAACAGTTGCAGGAAAGTCAGCAGCAACTACAAGAAAGTCAGCAGCAACTACAGGAAAATCAACAACAATGGCAAGAGGTACAAATGGAAAACATCAGTAAATTTAAAAGCGAATTAGACACTTTTCAATCAATATCCCAGTAAAAAAGGCCCATGAGTTTATGGTCAACTAGAATTGCTGTTTATTGCAAAGTATATTTTAGTATATGTGTTTATCCAGTCTCAAGTAACTCTAATTAAAGTAATTTGAAGAGTACATTTTAGTTCTTATGTGAAGGCAGTGAGGATTACTTTGTTGTGTCTATCAGAATTACATTTATTTATATTACAATACCCTCTCAACCATCTCCCTCGAGTTCTCTTCTTCATTTGGGACACTCCTTGTCAAGTTCTTTTAGTGGTGCCCTGTTTGCTAGCCCGATCTTGGTTTCCCCCTGTGGAGCCTGCTGACTTCTTCCCCTTTTCTTTTTCTTCCACTCTCCTGCTTCCTTCTTCTTTAGCCTGATACTTCTCTTTTCCATCTAGCTGTGTCATCACACTGGCTTCATGCATGGGATTTGTCTGGTTACTTGCAAGATGGGCAGGACTTTCTTCATGTGTAGCCTTCTTCCTGTCCCATTCTGTATGCC